TCCACCCTCATTTAAATAAATAACTAAATTAAAAAAAATAATAAATAAATAAATTTTTTTCCATCCATTCCTTTTAATTTTTTTAATAACTAAATAGAGGTTTTTTTTTTCTCCCCCTCATTCATTTCATTCTTCTCAATCCAAATATATTATAAAATAAGTCAATGAAATTAAAAATAAACATTTGTAACATTTAAATTAAAGTCAACTTTCATATCCTTGATACAAAAATTAAAAACCATTAAATCAGTGTAAAATTAATAACCAAAATTAAATTTTTTAAGTTATTACTCTCTTTATTTCCAAATAACTTTTATTTTTTAAGTTTAAATTTATCTTAAATTAATTGTTATTTTTTTAACATGGGGGTGAGAGTCGAATTCTATATCTCCAAGCCTTAACGTGAGAAGCCCTTAATAAGAAAATGTTGGCTACTAAACCACTAGAATATTCTCAAAATTAATTGTCATTTTTTATTTTTAAAAATAGACAAAATTTTTTTGTTATTTTAATTCTATCATTATTTATTTCTTTTAATCAATTATCTTATCCCAAAAAGTTGGGGTGTTTATATATGAAACGATTCGATTACTTCAGGCCAATTAAAATGATTATATAATTGAATTAATTTAAATGAAAAATTAAAAACCAATTAAATTGGTTTGGTTATTGATTTTGCTCTATAAAAACCAAAGAAAAATGCTATTGGGACAACAATTTTGTCTCACCTTTTTATATAACTTAACGTGTTATTAAAATGATTGATTTTTTTAACTCATATAGGATCCGTGATATTAAATGCATCTACTCATTTAATGGCATGTAAAAGTTGTATAAAAAAATAAAATAAAAAAGTTATCCAAATAGCACCACCCAAAACCAAATTGACCCGATAATCTGACTTTAATAGAATTAATAAAAAATATATATTACTTCCCATTTCTTATATGCTGGAATAGTGTTAACTGCCTACAATCGCTAGCTTGTTACATTTGAAATTCATAATCAGACTTTTAAGGCCATTAGTCTCTTTCTTCTTATATTTATTAAAATTTATAAACACAATATATTTTATATTCGTCTACTGTGCCCCTCTCTTGATTTGATCTTTTAAATATTACCAATTGCGTTCCATATTATTCTTAGATTTCTACAAGTACTTGGGATTTCTTTTAAGTTATATAATTACTTTAAATTTACATAAATTGATCAAAATGTAAGGCAATATTGTAAGTACATTGTATTTATTATACAGGTGTACAACCAACCATAAGTTAGGCAGTAACCACTCAAGAATAAAGATTACTTTTATTGATAAAAAAATAAAAAATAAAGATTGTTTTGTTTGGTGGTTGTGATTTTTTTTTTTAACCTTTTAGAAAAATATATTTGATTTTTTTAAAAGGGCATAATTGTATATTTTACATAATTAACCCATGCTTTTGTTTTTGTATGATTAAAATTTACAAAAGGAAGAGTAATGTAATCAAATCCCTAGAAATGATTTTTTTTATTTTTGGACAAAACACTAATCAATCCAATCTAAATCAATACAATCCAATAATAGTTGAATCGGTTTGGCTGTAATATATGAACTAGATTGGATTGGTTTGATTTTTTAAAAAATTCGATTAAGGGTACGTTGATGATTACGGTTGAGAGTTTTTTCATGTAGTCATTCAGTATTTTTAGATATATATTTGTTTGGTAATTTTTTTTTCAAACTGTTTTTTTTTAAGTTACAGAAAGTCACAGTAGATTTACAATAATTTTATGTATAAAGCGATATCATTTTGGAGCTTCTTGCCTTGTGACTTTTATGGAGAACACCTAATATTTAATATAATTACAAAATTACCCATTAAAACTCAATTCATATAACTTAATTACAT